TCAAAACCATTTCTTCTTTTTTGGGAGAACCCATCATAGCATAAACATATGGGACAGGAATCCGGCATGCCAAGGGAAAATGGCACAGAATCCTCATGGGTATATGTTCTTACACACATACACACACACATGTTTATATTCATATCGTTGTGGGGACTCTCCATTCTTTTCTAACTCTAATCCAAACAATGACAACCTTAACCCCTATCCAGCCCTAACCTTAACCATAAGCAATCAAACAAATGCAAGACTTTTGGCATTTCTAGTTTTTTGATTGCAGTCACAAATATTTACAAAATTCAGTTTCCCTTTCTGGGGACCGAAAAAATGGTCCCCACAACATCAAAAAAGTAATAATAGATACTTTTATTGATCCCCCTGGGGGAATTCTCTTTTCACCTCCCCCATTTTACTCTGCATGAGAGCCAGCTTGGCTGTGAAGAGCAGCCACCTGTTGAGGCGTCCAGGGAGCTGGGGGTTAAGCACCTTGCTCAAGGACCCACAGATGTGTTGAGGCTGGGCTTGAACCGGCGCCATTCTGATCACAGGCACAGGAGTTTAGCCCAACAGGTTTTTAATCACATTTTGGGGGGACATTTGGTCCCCACAATGTAATAGCTACATACACACACACACACACACACAGTGTGTGTATAATTATATCTTTGTGGGATTTCTCCATTCATTTATATGGGGAAAACTGTAATCCCAAAATGACGACCCTAACGCCTACCCAGCCCTATCCTTAACCATAAATAAACAAAAAAATACGAGACTTGGCATTTTTACTTTTTTTGATTGCATTCACAGATCTTTATGAACCTGAAAAATGGTCCCCACAATGTAATATAAACCCAATGCACACACACACACACACACACACACGTATGTATGTGTGTGTGTATACATACACATATATATGTCTTGTCTGCATGGTTGCCTATATGTGAAGAATACTTATGTTGAAGAGCAGGGGGCTGTAAAGGCCCCGTTGAGGCCAACGGGCAGTGGCAGCAGCTGAGAAATGTGTCTCAAAGCAGCCGGAAGCCACGGCTCCTGGACTGGCGGCCGGCACCTTGACGTGAGACTATGATTTACGGCATGTTTGTCTTTGATCAGCAGCACATGTGTTTTTGCGCAAAGACGGCTTGGATGCAGTGAAAGTCTCCCCTCTTGCCCCAGGCTTTATTCCATGCAGTGGCCACGTCGTTAATTTAACTGCTGCGTTATGTAAGTTCCGCTGTCAAATCCAGAACGCCGCCATCTTCCAGAAAGTTCCCTAGTGGAGCTGAAGCTGGAACATTTGCTGGGACACATAAGTCTTTATCACTGTCATCTACTGCCATATCAGGGCATGTGAGACGCAGTGTGACCTGTATCATCCCACAGACCTCCTCGTTAAAGACGCTTTCTCATTGGCTGATGCTGAATACCAATATACTTGTAAACATGAGGACTGTGTTTACGACCTTTTCACTTGACACAGAGATAAAAGAGTGTCATCACCAGTTGATGGCAATGTGAGGGCTGAATTGGGCCTCCGGATTTGGCCGATGATTCCTGCTCTTCATTTTGGGTTCAGACAAGGCCCATCTGCAGATTGACAGGTATGGGAGAGCCTTTTAGCAGAAACCCGAACTGAACTTGCCGTACTCTGGCTGGATGTCGTGCCCCATGACGCCTTTGAATGCCCGGTAATTGTGTCTTTGTCTCATAAGGCCTCAGGAATTACACACTCCCTGTCCTGATCCTCCGCACACTTCAGTTGTTCGGCTGTCAGGTGATGACCTCAGTTGACACAGCATGATTGAATCAGATTAAACAGAATGATACACTCCCAGCAGACCTCAGGCACACTTCACGTGAGACACATATTAACACGGTGAAATTAAAACAAAGCAAACATGTCCAGGGTATCGGTCAGGTGTGTCCAATCTGTGACCAATCTGGGTCAAAATGAAGTCAATAGACATGCTTTACTAGGTTGTAGCTCAGATCATTAAACAATGGTGAGTTTATTACTAAACACCAGTTACAACAATGGTGAGTGTAAACGACAATAATAAGGAGCGTCCGGAGCAGTTCGGCCTGTGCAGTGGGGGAAACTGATCGCCGCCATGGGGCCAGTTTTATTTAAAAGGACGTTTGGCTGTTTCAGCTCATGTCACCCGTGTGAGGCAGCACTCAGAATGCCCCGCCGTCATCGTGGAGAGCACACATGTGCGCACGACTGATTGCAGAAGCGCCCGTTTATCTCGCCGGAGCGCCCGGATATTTCCGTGGTACTCGGCAGGGGCGGAGAGAGGTGTAGAGCGACGGATGCTGCCAGGAAAACATAGAGTGTGGAGAATGTCAGAAACGCATCCCCATTCCCAGGTGTGTCAGCAGCAGTCCGGGTTTCCACGGAATTACTTCTCCCCCAACACTTCAGCCCGGGTCACATCCAGAAATGCTTATTGTTTTGGCAGTAAGTCAGTTTCCTGGGTTAATGGACATGGTCGATGCTCTTGTCCGGCACTTGCATGCCTCAGACATGAACGCGGCACGCTGGGCTCATTATACAGAACTAGTACGCCGTGATTACTGTCAAAACGATAAACAGCGACATGTGAAAGGGCTCAGTAGGCAAACGTGAAGCAAATTAACTTGCTGGCTGCAAACGAAAGAAAATGACTGAACGGAAATACAGAAGCAGTCGATGAATCTGGCTACTTTTTCACGTTTGCATTTCTGGCACCAGGATTTGTCCGATATGCTGGGCTTGTTTCAGATCGATGCATCTCGGACCTCTGCGAGAGTCTGCATGACACGTCGCCATGATGTGTGTGCTGGTCCTGGTCCATCAGCGTGCATTACAGTGATCAGGAGTTCATGCATTATTCATATGTGATGGATGGACGCAGCTCTTAGCGATTACCGCAGCCTGTCCCATTATGGCATCAGCCACAGAGATGGGAGGCGAGGCCCCCCCAGAAGCCATAAGGTCGCCTCTGTCCTGTTCATTCAGTCCACAGTGGGGTGTTACACCACAATGACCCCCACATCTCCCAAAGGGAAAAATAAAACTGTTTGCAAATTTCACTCAATAAACAAAGAAAAATCATCAAATCTCTGTGTCAGGCTACAGCGAGACCTATCCTAGTGCTATTTCCGCCCCCCCCGCCCCCCCCCCCCCCAAAGCTAATTCTGAGTGCATAAATAATTCACACCTCTGTGTGTTTATATCCTGGTCTCATATCGCTATAACCAGCAATTTCTCCTCACGCAAATCAGCACTTATTTTTTTTTTAGGGGGGAAAAAGGTATTGCGAAGCAGAATTTGATTTGGCAGCCTGACTCGCTGCGTTATGGCGCAGAGACACCCAGGTGCTCCGCACAGAGGATTTGTTTCTCCATTTCAAACGAGATGTTGCGGTTTGTCAACAGCTCTATTAAAAAAGCTTTAACAATTACAGGAAACTGTCAGAACTTTCCTACCCCAGGTTGGGGCGCAGGACAAGTATTCGGAGTTTCCATAGAGACAGTCAATTTAAATCTAATCTTTCTCTTTTAAAACCCTAACCCTATAGCAGAGGAGTGCATAAAGTGATGCTGTATCACAGCTGAGGTGTCCTCAGTGCCGAGGGAGGGGTGCGGCCTGGCTGACAGGCCTGCTTTAGGGACGGGGGGGCTGTTGACACATCAATGGCCCGTCCGACTCACAAACGGCAGCCTTTTGTAAACAGAACACTCCTGTGAACAGTAACGTAGCAGTTTGACTCCCTGTTCCTTGGAATCTGCTGACTGGTTGGCATGGAGGAGGTGATGAAATATATATGATACCAGGGAAAATGAAAGTTAAAGAGGGTATTTTTTCACCCCTCCACCCACCCCTGGCACGAAGGTATCAGCCCAGAATAACAAGCAGCAGAGACTGATGAACATGGCGGCTTCGAGTCAGTATCGTACCATCCCTTTAGGATGCCTGCGCCCGGCTGCCATATTGTTTTAAGCCTGTACACCGTCCCTTTAATATGGCTGCTAAAAGACAGTTCATATTTCACTTTATGCATGGGATTACAGTCTGCACACAGTAAATTCATCATTAGGGCTGTGCACATGTAGCCCAGATTCTTATGTCCAGCCGACATTATGTGTGTCACTGTGCGTCAACTGCGCGTGTGCAAGGAAATTGACTGGGTGTCTACAGTAGGTGGCAGCACTGATGTTCGCAGAGCAGAGGTCAATAAAGAAAGAGTAGAAGAAGAATAGTTGCAGTTATGGTGAGCAGCTGTATGAGGAGGTGCAGAGGTACCCCGCATTTCAAACCCCCACATAAGGAATTTTCAAAAACCATGTTGCCGATGAAATTCACCTGGGGGGGTGGGGGTTGAGGTTCCAGCAAATTTTGTCGTAAGGATTTCAAAATACCCTGGTATGCTGTATTGCCTTTGTACTGCCTTAGTTTCACTACACTGTTTGTATTTGTGTTTGTTGCAAAACATCTGCCCCCACCTGGGGCACGAAGCAGGATTTCTTGCTTAGCTGGATAACTTCTCTGAATTAAGGTAGCCTGGGCTAAATGTCAAGAAAGTCCATTTAAACTCGGGTGCCTTAAATCAGACAATTTATCCAGCTAACCAAGGAATCTGGCTTCGTGATACAGGCCCCTGATCTAGCGGAATGTCATTGCTGTATGCAAATGCCAACTAACCGTCCTCCACGGATAAAGAAACACAAGAAACGCCGTGTATTTATATTTCTAACTTTTTATATTGATACTTTTAATGTCTTTATTTTGCTTTCACTATTTCACTATTGCAGAATTGATCGCCGTGCATTTCACTGCAGCTTATAGTCCGTATATTTTGCACTTGGCAACTAAAATTCTTGAATCCTTGAAGCATGAACTAGGCTTTAAGCCCTCGCCTGGCCTGCCCTCCCTCATTAATGCTGCCATATTGCTTCCAGTCTGGAGTGTGCCATCCCTTTAAGACACCCCCCCCCCCTTCTTTCCCCAGTGTTCATCTGCAGCTTCATGGTGGCGGCGCCCATCTTTGGCTACCTTGGTGACCGTTTCAACCGGAAGATCATCCTCAGTTGTGGGATCTTCTTCTGGTCCGTGGTGACACTCTCTAGCTCCTTCATCACCAAAGAGGTATGTGTGCCCCCCCCGCCCCCCAACCCACCAATCCTCTGTATTTTGAACGACAGAATTACAAACTGAATTGGAATGTTACATCCCAACATCCCGGTAGCAATTACCCATCCATCCATCTTGCAGCTACTTATCCTGGCCAAACTGGCAGCCTGTCGCGATTCATGACAGCCCCGTATGCCAGTGACACCCAGTAGTGACTGTAACACGGAGGGACATGGAGGGACACGAGTGACAGATTAAACCGTCAAAAAGAAGCACGAGAAAGTGAGCAGGGGTCATGCAGCCTCCTCCCGTTCACAAGCCCAGCCATTAAGGATCACCACTGGGTCGTCAGCACAGTGGTTACTTAGGGATAGCTCCAGCGTTTTGAACGTGACAAGAGTGTCCTCAAGGTCCTCAGACAGGAGATCTAATTATCACCGCAGCAGTGGAGGTCGGCACCGTCTCCTGTGGCCATTTCTTCCCTGGAATCCTTTAGGGATACAGGCACCCCCATTAGACGGGGGGGGGGGGTTAGTGTCAGGGCTGTGCTCGTCCGGCACCTGCTCTTCGGCCGGGCAAGGGGCAACGTCAGGGTCACGTGTGGTGGCCGGCTGGAGAGGGGTGTTGGGTCTGACCCTGTTGAAAGTCTAATCCTGACCCCGTCCAAAAAGAAAACACAGGGGTATTGCTCAGAGACTCCACAAAGGTTGCCGTGACCGCTTTGGCTGGGGGGTGGGGGGGGCCTGGGGGATTGGGACGTGCCTCGCACGAGAAAAAGGAGGTAGAAGGGAGGATGGTTCCCAACAGGGACATGGTGACATTTTTACGCCCCTATCAAAGACGCGCCCTTTTCTTATGCCGGGGCTGGCAAAGGGAGCGGGCAGAGGGAGCGACGTCGGTGACGCAAATGAGGGGACCGTCTGGAACCCCCCTAAGACCCCCCTCCCATTGTGTGTCTGTAACAATGGCCGGCAAGTCGGAGGGTCAGGCCATTTCATTAATATCACACCCCGTTGTGACACAGACGCTATGAGAGCGAGGAGTAAGCGCAGCTTAAACACAGGCGATCGAATTCTGCTTTCAGAAACGATCAATGCCATAGACAGAAGGCGACATCTGATGACACATTCCAGAGGCTGAGCAATGTTCACAGCTTCTTCCCTCCAGAGTGGGATCTGTTTGGCCTTCTTCCCTAGAAAGCTTATTAGGTGCAATTACGAATTAAAGCGCTATTCTGTCTGTGAAGTGCCCCCAGAGAGCGGCACGGCTCGGCCGGTGACTGCGCAGAGAGCGGCACGGCACGGCCGGTGACCGCGCAGAGAGCGGCACGGCTCGGAGAGGCCCAGGCGCACACACACACCGGCCCATTGGCAGGGGGCTAGGCCCGGCTCTCGGTGCAGCGGGTGGTTCCTCGTCGCTAGGCCCGGCTCTCGGTGCAGCGGGTGGTTCCTCGTCGCTAGGCCCGGCTCTCGNTGCAGCGGGTGGTTCCTCGTCGCTAGGCCCGGCTCTCGGTGCAGCGGGTGGTTCCTCGTCGCTAGGCCCGGCTCTCGGTGCAGCGGGTGGTTCCTTGTCGCTAGGCCTGGCTCTCGGTGCAGCGGGTGGTTCCTCGTCGCCCACACGCAGCACAGCCTGAGTCATGATGCACAGCCACACATCTTGCAGAATCCCACACATCTTGGGATTGTGATGTCACTGTCGGGCCCCTGAGCAAGGCCCTTAACCCCAACTGCTCCAGGGACTGGCTGACTGTGTCCCTTATGAAAGGGATAAACCCATCTGCTAGATAAATATATGAATAAATAAAGATGAGGTCACCCCCCCACCAACACGCGGGCCCTGTTCGTGCCCTGGACCATCTGATCTGGGGGTCCTTCAAAGGTCTAGCCACAGCCTCTTACATAATGCAGTTATGATGATGATGATGATGACGATGTCGTTCTGTAAAGGACAGACTCCTACATCATGAGAGATTAATAAATGCTAATGAAGAGAGAATTCACTCTGCACCGTGGGTGTTTGGGTGGGGAGCTGCTGTTTATAATCAGTCACCCGGCCATGCACAGCTCAGTGATGAAGTGCCCTTTAGAATCGCATAAATAACAATAAATAAAGGTATATTTCATTAAAAAGCGTCTCCGTGGAGCGTCTCTCCATGGGTGGTGCCGCAGCCCCAGCGCGGCGTAAATCTCCCTTAGCGTGTGAGCGTGTGCCCTGTGATAGACTGTCATCCCACCCTGTGCTTCCTGGGAGGGGCTCAGGCTCTCTGTGGTCCTGCACCGCTAAGCGGCTAAAAAGACAGACACTCTCACATGTAGTATGTTTGGCCAACAAATCAACGAACGACTGAACTCGCGAAATCGATTGAGTTCACATAACATGTGACAGCTTGAATGGAAACAAGTGACATGGATAGAGAGGCAGATTCCCAACCCCCAAGAAGATCCAAACCGCCTGGATGTAAATGAGAAGGGCTGTCACAGTGGCTTTCCGCTTTAATTAACAATCTGATGTTTTCATTTTGCTGGAATAAGAAGCATCGCTGTTGCTGAGTCCCGTTTCAGGGTCGGAAATGTGCTCAAAATATCTCAGTGCCCCCCCGGAGGAAGAATGTTCTAGATGATTATGATATTTATGAGGAGCCTCATAAAACTGATCCATGAGGAAAACATATCTGTAGACCAGCGCTTTCGTTCTGGCTTCCCGGCCCCCAGGTCCTCGTGAATCCCCCAGAGACCCACCAGCAAGTAGGACTGTTGCTGAAGATCCAAGGGTGGGGAGGTTGTTTTCTTACAATGCCCAGGGATGATCATGTGTAAGGATGAGGGCAGGTGGCTGAGTGAGGGATCAAGGCCAGCGGCCATCTTAAACACCCCCCCCTCACACACACATGTCACCATGGGGACCGAGAACACTGCGTACAGGTGAAGTGGACAGGTGCCTGAGCGAGGAGGGGGAGCAAGTGGCTGTCTGAAACACCCCCAACTTGTCGCTTGCTGGCAGAGAACCATGTAGGACAGGCATCTGAAAACGTAAAACGTGCCGTGCATTTTCACGCGTAAAACGTGGCGTGCATTTTCACGCGTAAAACGTGGCGTGCATTTTCACGCATTATTATGCAACAGTGTGATCACCGCATGAGAGGACGCAGGTGTGTCTGTGAGCAGCCTGGTGCACATTTAGCGGGACGATCTGAATGCAGAGCCAAAGGTCACCGCTGATGAGCTCATTGGGATGCCGGTCATGGCGGTGGGTCGTGTCTCCATCGGCCCGGTCTGCTGGCGTCCCCTGCCTCCTGACTTTTCTGGTTACAGGACACAGAGCTTCATTTAGCTCAGGAAGCAGCGGTGTTTACCACCAATGAAACCACACATTTGCATAAGCCCCATGAGGTTAGGCAGCCCCCTGTTGGCCACAAACAGTCACTATACTGGGGGGAGTGTGGGGACCCCAAAGTGACTTTTGGAGTTGGGCCCCAGAAACAACAAACCCCACTCGGAGTGTAGGTGATGGTAAAGAATACACCTCTGTACTGTCTTTCATATCATGCTCCATATCATACTCTTAAAACTGGCTGATCATATGAGTACTGAAACCCCTCCCCCGCCTCTCCCCACAGTACTACTGGCTGTTCGTCCTGTCGAGAGGCCTGATCGGCATCGGGGAGTCCAGCTACTCCTCCATCTCTCCCACCATCATCGGGGATCTCTTCACCAACAACACGCGCACCATGATGCTCTCTGTCTTCTACCTGGCGATCCCCCTGGGCAGGTATGGTATCCTGGGTCCGGGGTTAGGGTTAGGGTTAGGGTTAGGGTTAGGGTTAGGGATTCCTGAGGGAGGGTCTCGTGCAAAGCTAGCCAAGAGGCACATTGTCACGGTTATGGAGTTACGGCATGCAGCGGCGTTGATGTCTCACTTCTGTAAGCCTGAACGAAGTCGTTCAGGTGCTTAAGGACACGTTGAGGAATTAAGAACTGGGGCTGAAGAGAGAGGCACGCCGGAGCCGAGCCTCAGGCCCAGAGCTGCTCTCTGACACGTAAAAGTGCAGAATACGTCCTACTACCAGCAGCAATGTCTATTTACCGTGGAGATAAGGGCTCCTAAGACTTAACAAATGGGAGATGAGCCATTTTTTAGGATGAGTAGCGACAGAAGCTAAGACTGGCTGAACCCTGCTGTCGGTCATTCTCCCCAGCGCCTTGTCACCAGAGCCATGTTGTGTGGTTTTGGACTGTAATTAAGTGCAAAAGCACCCTCACCTCTGCCTGTCCTCCCGTCTGCCCAGCTCCTCTGCTCCCATCTCTTCTAGTTCCCATGGTCTCAGCACAAAAACTTGCAGATATAGTCGTAGGCAGATTGTCCTACAAAGAAGAGGCCTACAGTCAAAATTCTCCCACCTGCCCTCTTCTGCTCCCTGGAGTTTCAGACGTCCACAATTCACTGATTCCAACACCACATCACATGAGGACAGTTAATATGTCAGATAGAAAAAAACTGATGTCAGTCATTACCTCTTGCAAACCCATCATCAGACGCTTGTTATTAGAAGTGACAGCAGATTGGAGGGTGTCAGAGTCCAGGCAGGAAGCAAAAGTTGTGCCTCAAAGGAGTTCTGGAATGCCAAGGGGAAATTTTCCGACCGAACGGCGCTCCGATTGGGGCGAAACAATAGGAGCTGAGAGACTAGGCCCCACAGAGAAATCGCCAAAACATCCTTCATACCCTTGTGCCTATTTATCTCGGTCAAGCTGTTTCCAGGAAGTGACCTCAGGACTAAAATGTGGTGCAGAGGAAATGGTCTCCCAGGCTAATAAACACCCCCCACCTCGTAGCACTAAGGGGGGGGGAATGGAAATGTTTTTCCAGTGCCTGTTATTCAGGGTTTGGCATTCCAAACACAGAGTGCATGTAGACTGATAAGGTGAGCTTGTCTTTGGCTAATATAATATCTGCTCAAGGGTGTTTATTATTTTTGGATGTCCTTACGATGTAAAACAATGTTCTTTTGCTGAAACGCAGCTCAACCCGACAATGTTAAGGTCACCTGATGCGTGCCCGCGTGGAACTTTCCGGCCAATGCTACCACGGACTTGTGTTGGAACGTGCCTGCTGTTTGGCTTCGCTGACTGATTCACTTGATTGGCTTGATCCAATGGATTGGCCATTAAACTTAGGAGACAGGCTGCTGTTAGCGTCTGGGAACGAAGGAAGGGTTGGCAGCTTGGAATGCAGAGAAACGCCCTTTGGACCGGAACGCACAGAGACGTCAGTCTGGCCGCCAGGCTCATTGTTTGCTTTGAGTCATTTGATACATGGCGGCGAGCTGATAATGCTGACCACCCGCCCTCGGCTAGCTAACTGAGCCGCCACGTTTGGGGATTTCAGGACAGGTGAGACAGTGCATTGCGGAATGGGGTTACGGTGTACAGATCCGCTCTGGGGTGCAGCATGAGGGAAGCAGGCCGCTGGTGTGGGACTCACCTCAACAGGCTCTGAGAACCCACCCCAAAAAAAGAAGACGCGTGTGAAAAATGAAGATGGCCTGATTTCTTCAGGTTGATACAGGAATGCTTGGCAAGACTCATATGCATTATTGCTGGTGCAGTTTCAGAACCTCCTTATCTCAGTTTCAGTGTGAAATCTGTCCCCTTGCAGACAAATGATATAGCAGTACAGTTATATAGAAATACAGTTTCCCAAGGACATGAAGTGGGCAAGTATATAAAGATAATGAGCAGGTATGCAGGTCAAACATTGGCTTGTGTTTGCCATCAGACAAGCAGATAGATATCGACAGACGAATCACAGCTCACTTGCCTAATTATGGCCACGTGATGCCCGCTGACTGGTGTAAACAGAGGGGAGCAGTGTCACCCACCGGAAAGCAACGTTTAATTTCCCCGTCTCCGAGAATCATCGTGACAAGGAGCTGAAACACGGCCGTTCCCCGACGTACCTCACCAAAACTGCCGAAGGAGAAATCACTCCTCCAGCTGGCCTCGGGTGTCGACACCCCTGTTTGTGACATGTGTGTGATTATGATCGTAAACAGGATTAAGCTCCTTAATCGCAATCACGACAGGATCCACCAAGTCCTGCTCAGACACTTTCAGCATCCAACTGTAGAGAACTTAGAGACATTTAATGGCTACAATATGAAGAGAGTGGAGCCGCCATAGGCAGTGGCGGCCTTGTGGGAGGGATGTCACAGTCAGTGATGTTCAACTGTGGGGCAGATTGCAGAAGGCAGCCGTCTGCGATCTGTGCGCAGTGCCGTTTGTCTGCATAGAAAGCTGGTGTATCTTTCAGTCCAGAGCGAGCCGGCTAGAGATGCATCAACCTGGAAAAGGCCAGGCAGGGGGCTCTTCTGTTAGCTAACCATGTTCTCTTTCCATCTCTTTCTCCTCTGCAGTGGACTGGGCTACATCTTGGGTTCCAGTGCAAAGGAGGCAGCCGGTGACTGGCATTGGGCACTGAGGGTGAGAGCCGTCAGCCGGTGGGCGGTGTCTGGGGGGGGCGGGCAGTGGGGGTCAGGAGGCTCACATGTTGCCATGATGAGAGCATGTTATTCTGCGGCAGCAGGGGGGAAATCTGAGCCATGTGATTCTGGGAGGGGGGCAACTTGATCCGTCTGGTACCTCAGCAGCCAAAACACGCATCAGGTTACGGTTCCTGCACACCGAGTGCGTCTGGCATGGAGCCGACGCAGATCCTGCACGCTGCAGGAATAACCGGGGTTCTCATCTCTCTGAGGCCTCCAGCCCCCACCCTGCCGGGGGAGGCTGTGCCTGGCACTGGCAGTGGGGGATGAGTGGGATGCTTGTAGGGGAGCAGCACCTAGCAACACTGGGGAGATGAACTGCGGCCCTGTCCTATAAACACAGCCCCTAGCGTCCTGAGCAGCTGGCTGTGAACTTCTGTTGTACCCTAGGCAGGGCAGTGTCTGTCCCTGATCTGAGAGTGTGGTAGCCATAGGTGATCTGGGCAGTACAATGTGGCCAATCAGAATGTAAGATGTTCTTAAAGGGCAGTTTTCACGTCATGCTTCCTCATCAGTGCCCTTCATGTGACCAGCTGACCAAACAGTCTCCTTGCCCCCAGGTGTCTCCCGTCTTGGGCATCACCGCCGGGACACTCATCCTTTTCTTCGTACCTGAGCCCAAACGAGGGAGCGCCGATCACGCGGCAGGGCGCCTCAAGACACCCTGGACGTGCGACATGAAGGCTCTCGCCAAGAAGTAACCACCATTTTATTGACCTGCTTTACTTATCATCTACTGTTGACTAATTCTTTGTAAAGACCTTCATATAGTTATGAGCCCACTCCGGATAGGAATGTGGTGCTCACACAACCCCCCCCCCGAAGACGAGTGCTCACACAGCCCCCCGATTTGTCCCCCCCCAGCCGCAGCTACGTGTTCTCCTCCCTGGCCTCCGCCGCCGTGTCCTTCGCCACTGGGGCCTTTGGGGTCTGGATCCCGCAGTACCTCTTCCGGGCACAGGTGGTGCAGAAGAGCGTGGTGCCCTGTACCCAGGAGCCCTGCAGCAGCAAGGACAGGTGGGCGTGCCCCATGAGCCCTCGCTGCCTTTTGATTGGTCTGTCCTTGTCCCAGTGTGAATGTCATTAACCTCCACCGTTTCCCCCAAACAGCCTGATCTTCGGCGCCATCACCTGTGTGACGGGGCTCCTGGGGGTCCTGATTGGGGCGGCCACCACTCGCCTGTGCCGGCAGAAGACGGAGCGTGCCGACCCGCTGGTGTGTGCCGTCAGCATGCTGGGCTCGGCTATCTTCATCTGCCTCATCTTCGTTGTGGCTAAGAAGAGCATCGTGGGAGCTTACGTGAGTACTGTGGGGCCCGCCTTCCTCGCTGAAAGCTATTCACCTTGCTGCCTGATGGTGGCGCTCATGGCGAGGCCCTCGGGCTAATGCCGGGCAACACGCCCAGTTTCACTCCAGTGTCCTCGGCACTAGGCGTGATGTTTGTTTCTCAGGGAGGTGGAACGCAACCAAAACAGGCTGACCTGTCCATTTGACTCACTTCTGGGTTTCCAGGCGATGGGATAAAAATCACATTTGTATGGTTTTCAGACTTGAGGCCATTTAATGCAAGAAATAAACAATAGAGGAGGTTTACTGAGGTGTGGATGGGTGAGGTAATGGAGCCGAAAGCAGCTCACCTTAAAGACCAGGCCTAAGAAGCCTTAATCACCGCCATGCTGGAACAGAGCCTGCTCCTCTCTCCATCCTATGTTTGGAAACACATTTGGTTCTGGGAAGCTCTCCTCTGCTTGTAAAGCCGTACGGCTGACGGCCACACCTGACTGCTCTCAGAAAGAGCTATTTCTGTTGTTATTCTCCCGGGGTGCATCCGTGGCGGGGGTGGGGGGCGGGGGGGAGGGTGGTGTCTGGCCCGCTTCTCAGGATAGTAGCATCGAGCAGAAGGCTGAATGGGGAGGGGGGGGTTTCGTCAGGGCCCACGTCGCTTTTCAACTGGATGCCTCAGTCAGTGGCGATTGCTGGCGAGGCAACATGCCCAAGAGTTAGACCCCCGATCGGCGGGGTTAGTCGCCAAGTCCGAGGCTGTGGGATTGGATCACAGGGGTCCTGCTTTTGTATCCTACGGCCTTTCTAAGATCTCTTCAGAACCCTGAGCCATATAAACAGATCAGGTGTTAAATAATAAGCTGTGTGGGTAACTGGATAAAGTCTCTAAGTAACTGAATCCTTACCAAGCTGGATATAAATATATCGATCCGCGTTAGATACTCCATGTAAAACCTCGATATGAGATCCTTATCTGCAGCCAGCTGCCACGTCGGACGACCTGTTGGATCTCAGTGTGTGAGACTGACAGCTGGTGGCTCTTGATCACCCCCCCCCCCCGCCCCCCTGCCGCCGGGAGACTCCAGCCAGAAGCTACCGTCTGCTGGGGGGGTCATTTCGGAGTCAGCGGACGCAGACTCGACAGCGGGGCTCGCTCCAACACCGAGACCCATGCAGCAAGATTCCACCGCAACCCAATACATGTGGATCTGTTACAAAAAATATCCCGTCACCTGCTGAAGGGAGCAGCTGGAGGTTAAGCGATCCCAGGAAGCGCACGGCGGAGCGGGAATACTCCGTGCGCGTTTCCGACCTGCCATGTGGCGACCAAACGCTGGACCCTCAGCAGCACTTTGGAATTCACTCACACGGCGACATACTTGAAGTGCTTCTTGAATGATGGTTAAAGGCTTGTGGAAAGCTGCCCATGGAATTGGAAAAGAGGGGAATTTCAGTGCAGAGGAAGCATGAGGAATGAAAAGCAGACGACTGGCAGACTGTGTCTGCATGTGGGACAGAGAGGCACGGTCCTCTTCCCCCGTCAAAGTGTGCAAATTAAAAGTTTCGCCAATTCCTGCTGGATATTTTCCTAAGAGGATGGTTTAGTGGTTGCAAATAATGTTATGTAATATAACCACGTTGCCTTTTTCCAGAAACTCTGGGAATGTTTAAATGTCACATTCATTTTAGCTGTAATAGACAGTATTGGTGAACCTTTTTTTACTAATTTTATTTACAGTTTACAGTTAGAATGAGGAATGGCTGCGTCCTCGGTGTGAGTTTTAAAAGCACATAGAGCTTTTGTGATTTAGCTGAACTGGATCAGTGTGAAGCTACTATCTCTCATCCTGGTTTAATGCACCTCTCTCCTCTTTTACATTCCTTCTTCTAGATATGCATTTTTATCGGTGAGACACTGCTGTTTCTGAATTGGGCCATAACGGCGGACATTTTGATGGTAAGTAGCCAGGCTTGTTCATACATCACAGAAAGAGTTTGCGTGGTACACAGACGTGATTTTTATCAAGTGACTTCTTGGAGAATACAAGTATTCCCTGGACCAAACATAACGCATGAGCTCTCGAACAGGAAAACAGAAAGACTCTGTTGAAGCCCTGTTTGCGGGACTTGAGTGATGTCTCTGATTCACACCCTAATATCTCCCCGTCTCTCCCCCTGTCTCGCCCACCTCCCGCAGTATGTTGTCATCCCGACCCGGAGAGCCACAGCCGTAGCGTTCCAAGGCTTCACCTCGCACATCCTGGGAGATGCCGGAAGCCCGTACCTGATTGGTCTGGTAAGCAAAGCCCTCGGTTAAAGGCCCAGGCTTCAGGGTCTGGGTTTGACCCTGGTCCGCATGGCTTTCCTCTGGCCCCTCCCCCACTTCTTGGTTCAGGTGCCAGGCTCACGGTGATGATGTCACTAAGCTCTGCCCCCTTGGCGCTTTGGCGGGCAGTGAATGCATGGGGAGCCAGTGCCAGCGTTGGCTTGGATATGGTGGACGTGTTGCCAGCATGGGGGGAGGGGCACGAACCTGGGCTTTTGTGGGGAAAAACACATATCTATAGGGGGAGTCTGCTACCAGGAAACAGGCCCCAGAAGGGCCCTCTGCATCCACACCGTGGGCTGCCAGACAGTGGCTGGGCTCCAGGTCGGTTCCAGTAGGGATGGCACTGTGTTGGGGGTGCTCTTCCGTATTGCAGCCGCAGGTGACAGGCCGCTTTGGTGCCATGTGTGTCGCCGTTACTGTCTGATGGCTTCTCAGGCTGCAGCTTTCGTCCCTCTGGCTTTACAGTCTCACAGAGTCTACGATGAGACGAGCAGATGTCCAATCGACAGGCATCCGGCCGCTGAGCCGTAGCAGCCTGCTTGGGCTGTCGTCATAGCTGGTGTTGTTGGAAATGGCCTTTCTTTCTGCACTGGTGCAGGGAATGTGAAATAAAATCCGCCCCCCCATCCCCCCCCCCGCCCTTACCGGTGTTGCTGTCAGTTCACTGAGTCAGGTGCCTCTGGGTGTCCAATAGAAACCTCTCCCCCCCAGATCCGGTAGATGGGGGCTCTGCCTGGAGACACTTACAGGACTCGCTGCCGTGATCTTGCCCCGAACCATGGCCAAACGCCACTGAGACCGTTACACAGTGGGGGTTTTTAACGGGCCTCTGAGATGTACGTCACTGGCGGTAAAGTCGTGACTGCCCCCCTCCCCCCCCCAGGCCACAGAGCAAATACGGGACACAACATCGCTTAGCAACTGCGAAGGTGCAAACAAGGAGGCCAGACACACAGCTACCTCGCCGAAAAGAGGCCCCATGACGAATCACAGCCCAGCTGCGAGGCTGCACAGATAGGGGGCGCCATATTCGGCCTGGGCACTGCCTCCGAGGTCGGCAGAGTCAGCTGCAGGTCACCGGCCTGACAGCTCACTGCAGAGTGCTGATGATGGCAGTAACCTGGGAGGAAAATGCCACGTCATGATGGGAAGATCTAGACCTTTCACTGCGGGGACCTGCCGTGCTCTCGCTTATCTGTCAGCAGAAAAGGGTGAGCTAAAGCCCCCCCAGCACGGGTTGGGAAGGGCAGGGGCCCCCGCCCGGTCAGGCTGGAGGACACGGCGTCGGCTTCTTCACGCCCGTCCTGGCGATGTGCTTTTTGGCTTCTGCCAGTGTTACCTTTGCGTGCCACGCCACTGTCACGCCCGGCCCGCCCACTGTTGCCCAGGGAGATGCACGTGTCCTCATTCTCAGTCTGACATCACCTCACGGAGGCCTGAGTCACCGGTGTCACTCCAACCTGTGTCGCGTGGCCCCGTTCAGAGTCGCCTTTGTCAGGACGGGGTGTAGATATGGTGCCACGCGTCTGAGTAACACAGTGCAGGAAGGGGGGGCCCCACCCAGGCCACACCCTGCCGTGGCCACGATCGACAGCGCATACGTACACAAACACACACACACACACACACACACACAGCTTTCTACTGCATCAGCGCTTGGATGATGGCTACATGCTCTAGAAACTTATCGTGCTTATTGTTTAATGTCCTGAGCAATATTTACACACGACATAGCTGATCCTGCAAACTGGTGTACATGTTTTCCCCAGATAACCAGGCATTTGCTCCCTCTCTGCATCATGTGGGCGGTCTTTCCGCTGCCCTGGTAAATAAGCCACACCCCCCTCTCCAAGCAGGGGGCTCCCCTGAGGAGATGCGGCCTCATGTAACACGGGGAGAACCTGCAAATTCCTCATGTATCACAGGGAGAACATGCAAATTCCTCATGTAACACGGGGAGAACATGCAAATTCCTTATGTAACACAGGGAGAACATGCAAATTCGTCGTGTAACATGGGGAGAACATGCAAACTCCATACACACAGAGCCAACCGAACCCCTGACTTCCCACTTCCCTGTGCCACCCACACACCTCTGACGTTGTACGTTAATGGAATGTTCCAGATCTCGGACAACCTGCAGAAGAGCTACCCCGGGTCGGACCTCTGGAAGTTCCTGAGCTTGGGTTACGCCCTCATGCTCTGCCCCTTCGTCATCGTCCTTGGGGGCATGTTCTTCCTCGCCACGGCCCTCTTCTTCCTGGACGACAGAGAGAAAGCGGAGAGACAGTAAGTCCCCCCAGCCACCGCAGCACAGTGACAATCTCACCCTGCCACTGCACTTTAATCCAAGCCATTTCTTTCATATCATATCATACAGTTGTTTTGTAGTCTTGTTTACAGCATTCTGACTTCTGAAATACATCCCTCTTGCATGACTTTACATTACAGAGTCATGTGCAGGGTAATGGACTGCAGTAAGAATAATGGTATAGCAGAAGTGTAACCTTGGTGCAGCGCCCCCTGGCAACCCTGTGCAGAACAGCAGCTTATGTAGAGATGCCTGGATGGGTGGGTAGAGGTGGATGGACAGTCATGCTGTCTTATTAAATCAACACCCTCCATTAGCGTGGAAAGCTCGCTTTTAGCAGGACGGCTCCGACATTCCCTTAAAAGGCGAACATAAACTCTCGCAACAAAAACTGTTTCTCTTGGATGCTTTTATCAAGCTCATTTCCTCCCGGCCTCTCGAAATGACTTCCTTCCTGTTTGATGGCGGAGACTTTTTTAGACACTTGGGCTGCGCAATGGCCTTTCATCAAACAGTAAAGTTACCTCCCCAGGCACGGCGAGCCCCCCCCCCCCCCCACCGGGTGGTGGCTGACATCCATCCCCTATCGACATTTCTATTTCCCCTTTACGATTAATGAGAATCGTGTCACTTCTGAACACTCTGGTGACAAGCCAGGTTGTGCTCGGTCACCAGTAACTTCAGCAAAACAGCCAGACAGATTCAGCTGCACTGAACCAGTGGGGTCGGACCGGGAGGGTTCTGAGAGACCGAATGAGTAGCATAGCGGGGGCAGCATTCCACGCTGCCGGGTCCGTTTTAGGAAGACGAGCAATAATGTGGAGGCGTAATGGGTACAAATAGAACCTTCTGTAAAAGCTAAGCTATAAATATCCAGAGAATCACCCAATGGACCTTTCTGTCCTTGGGGGGGTTGGTATTTTGCTGAGTGGGACAGTAATAAAGTTGGCCTGTGGGGTGTGACAGGGTGGTGAGTGGGGGGGAGCTGTCCCAGTTCCCAAGGCCGTGGGTGCCATGCACACGAGAGAGCCCCCACCTGGATGCCTGGTGGGAGTAGCATGGATGAGTCAGCCTCCATGCGGGGGCTCCATCCAAGCTGCTCGCTGTGGGACCCGTGATGATGCAGGATGCTGCCGGAGAGGTTTGCTCACGTCTGCTTCCTCCTTCCTCAGGCTGAGCCAGTCCACCACGTCGCCCTCCTCCATCAAGGTATGATCAGGTGAGTGTCGCCGGATCTCCTGATGCCTCCCACCGGCGTACAAAGTGAACAGTGGCAGGTCGCCTTAACGCTCTTCACACGTCGCGTCAGCCCTGAACACGCCAGTCAGCTCTGTGGTGTGCGACTCCACCAGCTAGGCCGGTTCTGGGTGGCACCAAGGTGATTAAGCTCACGGATCGGGATGGTCCCGCTTCTCACTTGGGTCTGGGCAGAGTTTCCATGCCGATCATGTTACAGATTAACCTGTAAAAACTGGCAATAACAACCCCCCCGCCCCCCCGTCCAGCCTCTCTGGGGCACAGGGACGAAGGTGTAGGTATCTGCGTCAGAGCCATGTCAGTGTATCATGCTCCAAACCACGCATTCTCTCGTCCCCCCTTCCAGCTCAGAGCTTCACCCCGGTTATTAGATGTTCCTTAGAGGTTCCAGGCAGCCTCCACACCTGGGGGGGGCACAGGCCTTTGGAGCGTGACGGGGACGTGACTCCCAGAGCGTGATTCCCAGAGTCCGTGAGCGATCGCTCAGTCACCGGGCAGCTATGCAGGCCAGACGGTGCTTTTTGTGTTTACTGTGAAATGAGTGATCAGATGTAATGAAATGGCGGCGACCCCCGCGGCCCCCATTTCGTGACCTTAGGTGACCCCTCCAGCAGAGAATTACAGTAAGGATGTCATATCTGAGCAGCCTATGCTGGAAGTGGTCCCCCCCCCCCACCACCAGCCGAATAACCCAGATTAGAGTCAGGGCCTCGGAGTAGTGTGTGGCCCCACCCCCAGTGCCAGCGTGGTGGGAGGAGCAGAAGCCGCTCTGGCGGTGGCAGCTGACAGGCCGTCGTGACACCGCATGGTCTCGTCCCTTTCTCAGGCGTCCAGGCTGCCTCCCCCTCCCCATGCGACGGGGCAGGTGCGAGGCCCCCGTCTGTCTGCGGCCTGCCAAGAAGACGCACTGACCAGGGGCGGGGGGGTTCAAAATGGTCGTCATCGTCAGTCCTCCATCTGTGTCGCTGGAGAGCGGTTTTATTTTGGAAGTGGAGTTGCTCGCTGGCGGGGGCCGGGACACTTGACCTTGCGTGATCGGCACAGTGACCCCACAGCGTGCAGGAGCAGATGGCAGGAGCAGAACTAACATCCATCTGTCCGGTTTCGTTCTACTTTTGTTGCTCCAAGTACAGACCAACACCACCCCCCCCCCCCCCACCCCCCCCCCCCC